CCTCCCTTGCTCCTAACTAACTCTATGGCTGTTTTATACCTCTGAATCAGTTCCTCACTCCTGACTCGACCAACATCATTTCCTCCCACGCTAATGCAAATAATGGGATTGTTCCCATTACCAGCCATAATATCATTCATGTTGTTTATAATATCACCAATGCCAGCTCCGGGATAGCAAACCCTTAACCTGTTCCCCCTATCTCTAGCACAAAACGTTCTATCCAAATACCTTATCTGGGAATCTCCCACAACTAATGTTTGCTTAGGTACTTCCTTTACTTTCTGAGGGGCCTGCGCTTCCTTTCTCTTCGTTGCTTTCCCTTTTGCGCGATCCACAGTCTCTCCACAGCACTCGTCCTCCAAAACGTCAAATGAATTTGAAGTTGCTATGGCGTTTGAAGGCGGCTTTATCAAAGTCTTCTTAAGGCCCCTGTCTTTCGCAACTCTCCAAGACGAGGTCCCTTTACTGCTGGTCTCCTCCTTCGTTACTTCTCGTTGTTTTTTAAGCTGACGCACCTCCTCCCGCAGAGAGTCCAACTCTGTCCTCAGGGCTCCCACTAGAGTCACCAGGTCCTTCACTACAACTTCCATATTGCTATGATAAAATAACAACACTCGAACAAGAACTGGGTAAATACTGGTTCGGTAACAGGGGTAAACGCTGAGATACATGATACTTCACGCTGTGTTGCTCCCTTGTTTCATATGAATGGGATGATGACTGATTTCAACTATTCCTATGCAAACTTAACAAAGGTGATATTATTAGAGTATTAAAAGCATCAGCAAGAGACAGAACACGAAACAATTGGGTATAAATTAGTTAAGTTTAGATTTAGGAAAGACTGGGGTAAATACTGGTTCGGTAACAGGGATGTTGATTTGTGGAAACAATTACCGCGTAAGGTGGTGGAGGTGGGGTCCCTCGATTGTTTCAAGCGTGGGTTGGACATATATATGAGTGGGATTGGGTGGTTATAAATAGGAGCTGCCTCATATGGGCCAATAGGCCTTCTGCAGTTACCGTTGTTCTTATGTTCTTATGCTCAATAAACGATCCTAGACTGGGTACCTTAAATATAAGTACGATGAGCAAATAGATCCTTCTGAATATTGACAGAGTGGCGTGATTGAATGTATGAATAGAGAGGAAAGGGGGTAATAATTAAGTTTTGAATAGACCTACTGAAGTTCATCTAATAGCGCTAGTTGATGTTTTGGTTGACATAGATTGGAAATAAATAAGAGATCCAGCAGAGACCTTGCGCAATTTATATTTCTTATGTTCAATATGCGATCTTTTTTAGAATATGAACTTTGAAAATGGGTTTAAATATGCTATTACAGTATACTAAGTTATTCAGGGAAGATGAAGACTGGCTAGCTGATGACGTCATTTGACCATTAGCGATGCCTGTGCGGGGTCACCGAGGTGATGAAATTTAAGTATGACGGAAGCCTGCAGTTTAATCCCTTGGTTTAAGCCCGCCGGGGTAACGAAGATCACCTATGACTACTCGCTGCAGGCAGAACAAGCAAAACTGCAGCGAGAAGTAATAAATCCCACAACTCTCACCAGGGTTGTCATGTTTAACCAGGGTTGCCATGTTTAACCAGGGTTGTCATGTTTAACCAGAGTTGTCATGTTTAACCAGGGTTGTCATGTTTAACCAGAGTTGTCATGTTTAACCAGAGTTGTCATGTTTAACCAGGGTTGTCATGTTTAACCAGGGTTGTCATGTTTAACCAGGGTTGTCATGTTTAACCAGAGTTGTCATGTTTAACCAGAGTTGTCATGTTTAACCAGGGTTGTCATGTTTAACCAGGGTTGTCATGTTTAACCAGGGTTGTCATGTTTAACCAGAGTTGTCATGTTTAACCAGGGTTGTCATGTTTAACCAGGGTTATCTTGTTTAACCAGGGTTGTCATGTTTAACCAGGGTTGTCATGTTTAACCAGGGTTGTCACGTTTAACCAGAGTTGTCATGTTTAACCAGGGTTATCTTGTTTAACCAGGGTTGTCATGTTTAACCTGGGTTGTCATGTTTAACCAGAGTTGTCATGTTTAACCAGGGTTATCATGTTTAACCAGGGTTGTCACGTTTAACCAGAGTTGTCATGTTTAACCAGGGTTATCTTGATAAAACCAGGGTTGTCATGTTTAACCTGGGTTGTCATGTTTAACCAGAGTTGTCATGTTTAACCAGGGTTATCATGTTTAACCAGGGTTGTCACGTTTAACCAGAGTTGTCATGTTTAACCAGGGTTATCTTGTTTAACCAGGGTTGTCATGTTTAACCAGGGTTGTCATGTTTAACCAGGGTTATCTTGTTTAACCAGGGTTGCCATGTTTAACCTGGGTTGTCATGTTTAACCAAGGTTGTCATGTTTAACCAGGGTTGTTATGTTTAACCAGGGTTGTCATATTTAACCAGGGTTGTCATGTTTAACCAGGGTTGTCATGTTTAACCAGGGTTGTCATGTTTAACCAGGGTTGTCATGTTTAACCAGGGTTGTCATGTTTAACCAGGGTTATCTTGTTTAACCAGGGTTGACCATGTTTAACCTGGGTTGTCATGTTTAACCAGGGTTGTCATGTTTAACCAGGGTTGCCATGTTTAACCAGGGTTGTCATGTTTAACCTGGGTTATCTTGTTTAACCAGGGTTGTCATGTCTCACCAAAGTTGACATATCCCAACATTGTTGCCATGTCTCACCAGGGTTGCCATGTCTCACCAGGGTTGCAATGTGCCACTACAATTGCCATGTCTCACCAGGGTTGCCATGTCCCACCAGAGTTGCCATATCCCACCATGGTAGCCATGTCTCACCAGAGTTGTCATGTCTCACCAGGGTTGTCATGTCTCACCAGGGTTGCCATGTCTCACCAGGGTTGCAATGTGCCACTACAATTGCCATGTCCCACCAGGGTTGCCATGTCCCATCAGTGTTGCCATGTCTCAGCAGGGTTGCCATGTCTCACCAGAGTTGTCATGTCTCACCAGTTTTGCCATGTCTTACCAGGGTTGCCATGTCTCACCAGGGTTGCCATGTCTCACCAGGGGTGCCATGTCTCACCAGAGTTGCCATGTCCCACCAGGGTTGCGATGTCTCACCAGGGTTGTCATGTCTCACCAGAGTTGCCATGTCCCATCAGTGTTGCCATGTCCCATCAGTGTTGCCATATCCCACCAGGGGTGCTATGTCTCACCAGGGTTGTCATGTCTAACCAGTGTTGTCATGTCCCACCAGTGTTGTCATGTCCCACCAGGTTTGCCATGTCTCACCAGGGTTGCCATGTCTCACCAGGGTTGCCATGTCTCACCAGGGATGCCATGTCCCACCAGGGTTGTCATGTCCCACCAGGGTTGTCATGTCCCACCAGGGTTGCCATGTCCCACCAGTGTTGCCATGTCTCACCAGGGATGCCATGTCCCACCAGGGTTGTCATGTCTCAGCAGGGATGCCATATCCCACCAGGGTTGTCATGTCTCACCAGTGTTGTCATGTCTCACCAGTGTTGGCATGTCTCACCAGGGTTGGCATGTCTCACCAGGGTTGCCATGTCCCACCAGGGTTGTCATGTCCCACCAGGGTTGCCATGTCCCACCAGGGTTGCCATGTCTCACCAGGGTTGGCATGTCTCACCAGGGTTGGCATGTCTCACCAGGGTTGTCATGTCCCACCAGGGTTGCCATGTCCCACCAGGGTTGCCATGTCTCACCAGGGTTGGCATGTCTCACCAGGGTTGTCATGTCCCACCAGGGTTGCCATGTCTCACCAGGGTTGCCATGTCTCACCAGGGTTGTCATGTCTCACCAGGGTTGCCATGTCTCACCAGGGTTGCCATGTCTCACCCGGGGTGCCATGTCTCACCAGAGTTGCCATGTCCCACCAGGGTTGCTATGTCTCACCAGGGTTGTCATGTCTCACCTGGGTTGCCATGTCCCATCAGTGTTGCCATGTCCCATCAGTGTTGCCATATCCCACCAGGGGTGCTATGTCTCACCAGGGTTGTCATGTCTCACCAGTGTTGTCATGTCCCACCAGTGTTGTCATGTCCCACCAGGGTTGCCATGTCTCACCAGGGTTGCCATGTCTCATCAGGGTTGCCATGTCTCACCAGGGATGCCATGTCCCACCAGGGTTGCCATGTCTCAGCAGGGTTGCCATGTCTCACCAGTGTTGCCATGTCTCACCAGGGTTGGCATGTCTCACCAGGGTTGTCATGTCCCACCAGGGTTGCCATGTCCCACCAGTGTTGCCATGTCTCACCAGGGATGTCATGTCCCACCAGGGTTGCCATGTCCCACCAGTGTTGCCATGTCTCACCAGGGTTGTCATGTCTCACCAGTGTTGTCATGTCCCACCAGTGTTGTCATGTCCCACCAGGGTTGCCATGTCTCACCAGGGTTTCCATGTCTCATCAGGGTTGCCATGTCTCACCAGGGATGCCATGTCCCACCAGGGTTGCCATGTCTCACCAGGGTTGCCATGTCTCACCAGTGTTGCCATGTCTCACCAGGGTTGGCATGTCTCACCAGGGTTGTCATGTCCCACCAGGGTTGCCATGTCCCACCAGGGTTGCCATGTCCCACCAGGGTTGCCATGTCTCACCAGGGTTGGCATGTCTCACCAGTGTTGGCATGTCTCACCAGGGTTGTCATGTCCCACCAGGGTTGCCATGTCCCACCAGGGTTGCCATGTCTCACCAGGGTTGGCATGTCTCACCAGGGTTGTCATGTCCCACCAGGGTTGCCATGTCCCACAAGGGTTGCCATGTCCCACCAGGGTTGCCATGTCTCACCAGGGTTGGCATGTCTCACCAGTGTTGGCATGTCTCACCAGGGTTGCCATGTCCCACCAGGGTTGCCATGTCCCACCAGGGTTGCCATGTCTCATCAGGGTTGGCATGTCTCACCAGTGTTGGCATGTCTCACCAGGGTTGTCATGTCTCACCAGGGTTGCCATGTCCCACCAGTGTTGCCATGTCTCACCAGGGTTGTCAGCGGTGAACCTGATGACGGTGTACCCTCCGTCAGGGATGGTCACCGAGTCCTTCTTGACAGCGTTGGTCAGCTTGCGGGTGATGCCGCCGGCAGCCTCCAGGGCCTTCACCTCCGCCAGAGTCGTCTTGCTGGAACACATAAAATATCACTTCATCAACAAATATTACTGATACATTACGTTTACATAGCATGAGTTGACGAGTGATGAAGACAACTTTGATGAGTGCCTTGTATGGCAGTGTGACAGCTATACTTGGAGATGGCAATACTTTAAGTGACACTAGTACAGTGGTCTACGTTCTCGGCTCACACTCCAGGATCCCGTGTGTAGAATATATTCCATTGTTTTGTAAATCAAAACATATGAAATCCTCAATAGGTCACTTTTGAGGCAATATATCATAAATCTTCTAGAATGTTCGGGAAATAAAGTCTTGTCACGAGGGTTAAATAACTTCCGTGTTAAGATGCCGAGGTATGACGTCATCTCAGGTCTGAATCTCATCTGTCAAATATTATAAATTTAATATATGAATTCAGAGTTTAATTAACTACCACATGAACGTTCATCTAGTTTAGGTAAAGCTTAAATTTCTTAGGAAATAAGGGAAACTAACTTACAAGGTTTTGAGTTACTTTAAGGCCGAGAATACATATGAAAACTCACATCTACGCTTAAGATCTATTTACAGTCAATTAATTTCAAACCAGTACTTTAATGCATAATGCTGATTTGTAAATAAACAAAATTTATAAAATAATTATATATTAGAACAATAGTTATAGTGCAAAATGAGGTAATATGCACTTCAAATTAAGCTAGAGGGCAACCTTTAGACACAGTGAAAAATGAAAACGACCATCAACAGGGCAGTAAGGCGACCCAGACAACAACACAGGGTCGACTGCTAGCAGCCGTGGAGTGAGGACGTTTACCGACCCTCCGTGGCTGTTGGGGTTGTTTGCCGTTTTGGTCGCCAGGTGGTGTGGGCGTCTCTGCCCTCCCAGTTTTGTCGCCTGCCTAGCTGCGTGTTGATGTGGCGGTTCTGACATGGGGAGGCATCTTCCTCCTGTTGTGCGTGTGAATTCCGTGGGCCTGGAGTTCACTTGTAAGGCTGGTTATACGACCATCGAGATGGTGATGTGTGACATGCTTCGTATCCCGGTGGAGGCTATCTACGGTGCAGAGCTTGTTACGGCCCACCGGGTTGTTATTAAGTTCGTGAGGGAGGAGGAGTACCGGGACTTCCTCCATCGGTATGAGGGGCGTACGTTGCCGTTGCCGGATGATGCCGGTTCTGTGGCGATTTCAAACCGCAGTGGTGCCCTGACTTATATCAGGGTCCATGGTGCGCCCATGGAGTTCCCTGAAGACCTCCTCCGGCGTTACTTTGGGGGGTTTGGTACTGTTGTCAGCGTGCGGGTGAACACGCTCTCCTCAGGGCGGTATGCTGGGAGGCGAACGAACATTCGCACGTTGGGGATGCGCCTGCGGTCGGATATACCTTCTTCTGTCCGGCTTATGGGGTACTACGTCCGGGTGTATTATACCCGGCAGCCTCATACCTGTTTCCGCTGTGGCCTGTTGGGACATCAGGCTGCCGGGTTCTCTGAGGCCCCAGCTGCTCCTGTCAACTTGTTCTGAGAAGAGGATTTCCCACCGCTCCCACTGGAGGCAGTCTCCAGTGATAATAAGGAGGTGCGCATCCCGTTTGCTGCTGCAGCTCCCCAGGTGATGCGTGACGTTCCTCCGGTTGTTGCCGACCCTCCTCCGGGTATTGCGGTACCGTCGGTTGGTCTGCCTGATCCTGTCGCTGTCCAAGCTGCTTCCGTGGGCCTTCCTGGTGCTCCCTGTGTGGCGTCGCTGTCTTCTCCCTCATCTTCGGATGCTGGCCCTGTGTCCGTGACTCGGGTCCCGGATGTGCTGGGTGCTGGGGTGGCTGCGGAGCCTCCTGTTGTGTGTGGCCTGGTTCCTCCTGTGGTAGAGGCTGCTGCCGTTCTGTATCGGGCGTCGGTTCATCCGGCTCGTGGTACCCGTGTTTCTGGGTCTGCTTCCGGCTCTGACGATATCCAGCCGGTGCCCAAACGTTCCCGGCGTTCGTCTTCTGCATGGCCCGATGTTGCTGACTTCGGTGATTGTGGGTCTTCGGATGTTGACAGTGTGGATACGGATACGTCGATGTCTCCGCGGTTCGTGGTGGCGGAGGTCCATGTGCCTGCCGGTGCTGGTGCCTGTGTCTCGGACGTGCCTTCGGCTCTTTCTCCGCCGGGGGACTCTCCGCAGTGGGGAGTGGTGGCTTCCGCTGCCAGGAATGGTGTGGACTCTGGTGCTGGGCGTGGCCTGGTGGTGACGTTACGGAAGGATGCATGCCGTCCAGGTTCCCTGCTGTCGTCTGGTGGTGTGCCCGGGGCCGCGGGTACCCCGGTGGTGCGGGTGCGCGTTGGGACCCTGGGGGACGTGTTTCCGGCGTCTGTGATGCCGCCGGGTCACTGGTCTGAAATTGCCGAGTTACTGCTGTCTGACGGACCGGAGTACTTTCATGGTGGGCAAGTTCCCTTCCTGTGGAGGCGAGTAGCGACTTCTCGCCTCATGAGTACTACCATCTGGGTCCCATGTTTGCAGGTGTTTTTTTGGCCCAGTTCCGGATGTTATGGCGTCCCCGGTGGATGGACGAGACCCTTGGTAATGGGTGCTCTGGGAGGCGTTCAATGTACGGTTCCCTCGGGCCAGGTTCCCGGGCAAGTATGTGCTCTGATTTCCTGTGTATTTGCTCTATGACATGCTGTGTGCCCTTCTGGCTGTTTGTTTGCCCTGTTATATTATGTGCTTCTGCCTCTCCCTTTTGTGCGTTGCTTTGCCGTGTGGCATATTAGTTTCTAGTGCTTGGCGTCACTCGTTTTGCGTTTTGGCTTGGCGTTTCGCCTTTCCTGGCTTCGCGATTCACCCTTCACGGGTACGCCGGGGCGTATCCGATCCCACGATCGTCGTCGCCCCTAACTCAACAACAACACAGGTGGCATGGCGACTCAGACAACAACACAGGGCCAACATGATGACCCAGACAACAACACAGGGCAGCATGGCAACTCAGACAACAACACAGGGCAGCATGGCAACTCAGACAACAACACAGGGCAGCATGGCAACTCAGACAACAACACAGGGCAGCATGACGACCCAGACAGCAACACAGGGCAGCATGGCAACTCAGACAACACAGGGCAGCATGGCAACTCAGACAACAACACAGGGCCGCATGACGACCCAGACAACAACACAGGGCCGCATGGTGATCCAGACAACAACATCGGGCCGCATGACGACCCAGACAACAACATCGGGCCGCATGACGACCCAGACAACAACATCGGGCCGCATGACGACCCAGACAACAACACAGAACCGCATGACGAACCATTTCTAATTTATTTAATTACAGCAATTTTCTTGAGGAAATCCGTCGTATCTTGGATTCTTTCCGGTAGTAGACGTAGCAAGGGGTTTAGGAGGGCTGTGCAGATCCAGTCTACCGGGTTTGTTGGGCCCCGGCAGCCGCTTAGGACCGGTCTCCCTTGTCACGTTTCTGTTGTTTCTTCTAGTGCTTTATCGATCTTTGGTAAAGGTAGAGGTGGGGAATGATGGATTCAAAGACAAAGAAACGACAGGAACTAAGGGCCGCTTAATGGAGTCCAACATAACACAACACAGGGCCGCTTGCATTGAGTTACAGACAAAAGCAAAGGGCAGCATGACGACCAAGACAACAACACAGGGCAGCATGGTGACCCAGACAACAACACAGGGCAGCATGGTGACCCAGACAACAACACAGGGCAGCATGGTGACCCAGAGAACAACACAGGGCAGCATGGTGACCCAGACAACAACACAGTTCAGTTCAGCTCTGGAGAGAGTCACACGTTGTGTCCGTAGGGTCCGCGAATAACATCAATTATCTCGAGACATTGAAGGGTCACACAGACAACAACACAGGGCAGCATGGTGACCCAGAGAACAACACAGGGCAGCATGGTGACCCAGACAACAACACAGTTCAGTTCAGCTCTGGAGAGAGTCACACGTTGTGTCCGTAGGGTCCGCGAATAACATCAATTATCTCGAGACATTGAAGGGTCACCGAGACAAGAAACATAGTTTTTTGTCACAGAAGTGTACGCAAACGCAGTGATCAAGTGTATAGTGAGCTCCTACAGCGGTAGAGCAATTAAGAAACAAAAATAAGGCCGAGTGGCAAGATCAGTGTGTACCGTTGCGTCAGCCTAGCCACCCAGCCTAGCAGGACCTACGTTTTGTTTGCTGAGTAATGTGTTGTGAAGCGGTTTGTAGCATACTTAGTGATTGATCCCCCGAAGTGTGTGCACCGTTTAGGATCGTATGCTAAGTGCACATAGTGGTGACGACCAGTGAGGAAGATAGGAACGAATGTTACCAGGAGCACGTGGAGACAACAGTAGCACGTGGAGGCAGCATTGATACCAGAGAGAGGAGAGGGCAAGCGACCAACCCCGTCATAAGGACATCTCTTCAAACTCACCTAGGCGTGCTTGCTCGGGGTGAGCTGACGGTAGGTACCCCTCTCTAGGTCATCAATAAGGTGTACAGAGTGACTTAAAATACCTAATTTAAAGTAGGTCTCAATATCTCAAATATACAACTCCGTGGCTCACTTGGGTGGGGCTTGACACATGATACCCTGGTGACCGCTCACCATCTCACCCCACACCTTCCCACGCCTTACACTGCCCCAAGACACCCCCCTACCCCTTCCCCTATACACAAACACCCCCGCACCCAACACACACACACACACACACACACACACGCACACGCACACGCACACGCACACGCACACACGCACACGCGCACACGCGCACACGCACACACACACACACACACACACACACACACACGCACGCACACAAAGACACACACAGACACACACACACGCACACACACACGCACATACAGACACACACACAGACACACACACACACACACACACACACACACACACACACACACACACAGGTCAAGCGGGATGGTAAGACAACAGAATGAAGCTGGAGGAGAGGGACTGGACGAGTCATTCATGGAGATGATTGCTAA